TCTAAAAATATTTTAAATGAATCACCATGAGGTACAGTTACAGACTTTCGTGCTTACGTTTCAGTCATGCAATGATCGAGTACCCATCCCCCCACCAGTGCCCATTCTCCACCACCAATGATCCCCGTATCCCTCCCACCACCCCCACCCCATAGAGAGCAGGTTTTGAACGCTGCCAGATATGGCCCCCAAAGCAAACAAACAAAAGCCAAATAGAAACTGGACTCCAAAGAAACCAGTTGGACCTAGTCCCCAAACATACCCAGCTAGGCTCCACGTCATTCCAGGAACTAGAACTCCTCCTCTCTGCAGCACTGATACCCCCCGCCCTGCCTCCGCACACCTCTCTCCTGTGATGGGTTACCCTGGGCACCATAGTGGTTTCAGCTGCACTCACGACTGGCTCCTTCAAATGGGACGCTGGAGACCCCCAGGCGCAGTGGGATTTAAAAGTTCTACCTAAGGGCCAGAGCCGGAGTGCAGCGGACAGCCTCCCAGGAACCCAAACTTGCTTGCAACTTGATTCAGGGCTTCCAACCTCTGAAACCAGGGGGGGGGGTCAAAAACTGTTTTGAAGTTTCCTGGTCTACAGCGTTTCACTCCAGCAGTTCCAGCAAACACAATCAGGGCCGTGAGTCTGTTCACCCCACATTCTCAAAACCAAGTTTTAGAGAGGAAGGGCAGGTTGGTTGCTTGCCCAGAGTCAGGGAGGGAAAAATGAGCAGAAGGGAGGAGGATTAGGTTCAGGGGAACCCGGAATCTTGAGGGGAGATATCAGGACAGTCCAAAGTGGGATTATAGAAAGTGGCCTTGAAGGGTAGGATAAGGGGAAGGCTTCTACGGACCCTGCCCTCAGAAAAAGAAAATTGAGGGGCGGAAGCGATAGCACAGCTGGGAAGGTGTTTGCCTTGCACGCAGCCAACCCAGTTTCGATCCTTTGCATCCCCCAAGCCCAGTAGGAGTAATTCCTGAGTGCCGAGCCAGGAGTAACCCCTGAGCATCGCCAGGGGTGACCCCAAAAGCAAAAAAAAAAAACAATAAAAAGTTCTCCCTAAATTTCTTTCCAACCAGACAGTCCCCATGTTATTCTGGGGAGCCTGATTTTGCCTGGAGCCCCATCAAGGATGCAGTTCCTTGACTGGCCCTCAGCTCTCCATCCTTCTCCTCAGGCACGTGGGGCTGTGTCCTCTAAGCATTAACCCCCCTCCCCCCACACACACCCTGTGTAGTCCCGACTTCAGCTGTGTCTTGCACATAGTCCAGCTGTGTCCTCCCATTTGGGGAGGCGGACATTGACCAGCCTCGGCCTCTGCTCTCGCCTGAATGGTCACCCACCCCGGTTCTCCCTGCAGGACATGTGCCGTCCTCCCAGGCCCCTGCAAAGGGCCTTAGCTTGCTCCTGAGTCACTGTGTGTGTGGTTGGCCGTGGCCCGTATTTTGCTAAATGACCTCTCAGTCCTGGTCCGAATGACCATCAAAGGACAGTCCCTCTCCTTCAGGGGCGGAGAGGTCGGGGTGATGGGTGAGATCAGTCCCAGGGCCCGGATGAGGCATGGATCATTCAGGGGCCTCTGCTTTTTGTCTTTGATTTCAGTTGGCCCTTGGATGACATGACTCGGTCACCACCGGTTTAGCTGTCCTTCCTCTTGCCCAGCCGTGAAAGGCAGAGAGGGACTGTTTTATTTAAGAGAAAGAAAGAAAGAAAGAAAGAAAGAAAGAAAGAACACCCCTCCCCCCTTAACCGTTGTCTGACATTTTCATCCCATACAGGAGTCAGACCGTGGGCTCTTTGGGTGACACTCTGTATTTTAAGCCCGGAGCCTGGCATGCTGTGCCTTACAGGTGCATGCGTGGTGATTTGTCGTGGTTTTTGGCCTGCCCCCCGCCCCAACTCCCCGCCCAAGACAGACAGCTACAATAACCACGTTCTGTGTTTCCTGGCTCTGGAAACAGACCGTTTGGGATTCCTTTTATAGTTTCTCCGGCTAACGACTCCAGTGCCCACTCACTTGTGGTCTTGTAGTAAATCAAAACCGGTTTGAAAGATGCGGCTCGGTTATATAATCCTGAGTGTCCCATGAAGTCACCTCCCTGTGGGGGGGGGGAGGGGGGAGAGAGAGAGAGAGAGAGAGAGAGAGTGTGTGTGTTTAAGGGTGGGGAGGGCCGCAAGTTTTGCCTTAAACAGTGTGAACTTAGCCACCGCGGAGTCTCATTAAAAACAGAAGCACAGGGGCTGAAGCAGTAATAGTCCAGCCTTGCACGTGGCAGACCCAGGTTCAATTCCCGGCACCCCTAGGGTCCCCTGAGCCCTACCAGGAATGATCCCGGGTTGCAGAGCCAGCAGTCAACCCTGAGCACCCACCCTCCCATCCCCCACCTTACCCCCAGAAAGGAAAATAAAAGCACTGATTATACTTATATATGGCCTTTTATAAAATAAAATAATAAAAAAAATAAAATAATAATAAAATAAAAGCACAGGTCCATGCCAATCTTTTGAAAAAAGTCTTCCCCTCTCTCTTGGGGGTCTCATGCCTCTCATCTTCTGTCCCTGCTATCATGGTTGAAAACCGCTCCTGGGCTGGAGCGATAGCACAGAAGTTAGGGCGTTTGCCTTGCACCCGACTGACCTGGGTTCAATTTCCAGAATCCTATATGGTCCCCCAGCACTGCCAGGGGTAATTCCTGAGTGCTTGAGTCAGGAGTAACCCCTGTGCATCGCAAAGCAAAAAAAAAAAAAAAGAAAAGAAAAGAAAGGAAAGTGGTGAGGGTCAGATCTGGTTGACAAATCACTTTGCAAACTGTCCCTTTGAAGAGAACCCAGAATTTTGAGTAGCTTGGGGGTGAGGGTGTGTGTGTGTGTGTGTGTGTGTGTGTGTGTGTGTATGTATGTGTATGGGGGGGGGGGGTGTCGCCAGGTCTAGGGCAGCTCCTTGAAGGTCCCAATGGCCTCTGGGTGGCTTCATCCACAGTTGGTTACTCAGAGGTTGCAAAGCTAGCAACAGTGTTCCCGCGATAACCAGCGGAACGGTCCACAGATTTGGGGCTCATGGGGAGGGAGTCACCTTCCTCTGCCAGGGCAGGCCTGGTGACAGTGGTGGGTGGGCGCAGAGGCTCTGTAGAGTGTACCAAGCGTGCTGGGGGCGGGTAGGGGGGTGGGCGGAGCCAGGTAGAGGCCAGGCCTCTGTCCAGCTCAACGCCAAACGCAAAACGCGTGGCGTTGCCCCAGGTTCTAGAAGCCACCTCCCCGCCCCCATGGGCCTGGAATCTTCCTCCCAAACCGGCCCCGGGGTCCATGCCAATCTTTTGAAAAAAGTCTTCCCCTCTCTCTCCGGGGTCTCCTGCCTCTCAGAACCGGAGAACAATTAAAGCGCGAGTTCTTCCCAGGCAGCTGGGGAATTGTGCCAAATAAATCAGAAACCTTCAGCCGGGGGCTCCCGAGACTCCCGCCTCATAATGAGAGCAGATCTATTAGCCCTCTCGCCATTGTCTTTCATTTCTCAAGTGAGGTGATTCTAATTAAATTAATCTGCATGTCAATCTATCGGTGATCAATCAAAGAGCCCGCGGTCCCCCCTCGGCTGCGGGGTGCGGGCGGCTGACAGGGGCTGATAATGGGGGAAGAAATAAAGTGTGGAGCAAAGTTAATTAGTCAACATAATAGGTGGATTAACGCGGGGCCGCCTGACTGCTGTCTCCCCCGTGTCGGAGCACGAGGTGGGAGCCAAGGCTGCAATTACAGACAATTATTATATTTGGTTGCGAGAGGCCGCGTGCACAAACATCTCTCTGAGGGGCTCGCCTTCCAAGCCTCCCCTCCAAGGCTCAGGAGAAGTGTAGGTCATTTCGGTCTCATTGTTTGAGTCGAAGTTCTCCGAGAAGGACCTTCGTCAGGGTCCCTTCTGGCCAGTGGTGGCCACAGTCAGTCGGAGACCGAGATGGCCGGGAAGGGTTCGGATAGTTACCCCTGGCTGGAGTGATAGCACAGTGGGAAGGGGCATTTGCTTTGCCTTGCACGCGGCCAACCTGGGTTCGATTCCTTCATCCCTCTCGGAGAGCCTGGCAAGCTCCCGCGAATATCCTGCCCACACGGCAGAGCCTGGCAAGCTCCCCATGGCGTATTCGATCTGCCAAACACAGTAAGAACAAGTCTCACAATGGAGACGTTCCTGGTGCCCGCTCGAGCAAATTGATGAACAACAGGGATGACAGTGCTACCGTGCTACCCCCAGAGTGGGGGTGGTGGTGGTACATCTGAGTTTGGGGTCACGAAGCATCCATCTAAGTCCTTTCATTAGCAGGGATTTGGGGGCGGGCGGGGCATGGAGATAGTGGGAAAAGATGGGGGGGCACTTTGGTCTGATGAACGAACTTAATGTGGGGAAGTAATTGGTACAAGAGTACCACCCCACCCCTCCAAAGAAATAAGACCCCCCACCCAGAAGAGAAAACTATACCCCAGGCCTTCCTTGAAAACTCTATTTTCATTTTTCTCTCCTCTTAACCCGATGCATTGTGGGAGGGGTGTGCATGGAGCGGGGGGAGGGGAGGGTGGGGCTGGGGCATAATATTTCCTTTATTTCCGTGATCAACTGTGATATCTGCTTCAGTATCTGAACTGAAGGGTAATTTAGGTGAAACACAACCATCCTTGTGTAAAAAAATAAATAAATAAAAGAGAGAGAGAGAGAGAAAATGCTAATAAAGATCCTCTTGTTAAAATTATGGTTAACCGTGTACCTTCTGCTTGTCTCCCGATAAACTGTGCAATTTGACTTAAAACGGCATCAAAAGCGTGTCACGCCGGAAAGCCCCCCCCCACCCCATCATCAATAGCGCCTCTTGTTAGGCTGGGGCGGCATCAGCGGCAGTTATTATGTGAAATAGCTCAGGCGATTTTTCTGCCGCTCCCTGCTGTTATTTCTTGAACGCGCGTGTCTCGCCCCGCGTGGCTCTCCGATGAAGACGCTCACCCGTGTCTCCCGCTTCCGTCCCTCCAGGTCGTGGTGTCTACCACCGTCAACGTGGACGGCCACGTCCTGGCGGTCTCCGACAACATGTTCGTCCACAATAACTCCAAGCACGGGCGGAGGGCGCGGCGCCTTGACCCCTCGGAAGGTACGCCCTCTTATCTGGAACATGGTAGGCGCACCATTTTCATTGGTCGGCGTTGCTGCTCTAACTGTCAACCCTGCTTGCTTTCCTTTGCCTCCCGCTCTGCCAGGCTTGGCTGCAGGTGGCACATGTGGGTGGGCCGGGCGGGGAGGGTGGAGAGTGTTTGGGACTGGAAGGCATCTCCTGCAGAACACCCTCCCCCGCCCCCCTGGCCCTGGGCATGACTGAGATGGTCTGGATGGCCAGCCGGGGGAATGGAGGGCCCAGGGTGGGACCCCTGAGCTCGAGCTCCCTCTTTTTGCGGGGGGGGGGTCACACCCGGTGATGCTCAGGAGTTACTCCTGGCTCTGCAATCAGGAATTACTCCTGGCAGTGCTCGGGGGACCCTATGGGATGCTGGGAATTGAACCCGGGTCGGCCGTGTGCAAGACAAGCATCTTCTCTCCGGCCCCTGTTTGTTTGGTTTTAATTTTGGTTCACATCTGGCGGTTCTTGGGGACTACCTGTACTCAAAAGGGTTGCTCCCTTTTAGGAATGTTTAGGAAGACTAGGTTTATTTTATTTTATTGCTTTTGGGGTCACACCTGGCGATGTACAGGGATTATTCCTGGCTCTGCACTCAGGAATTACTCTTGGCGGTGCTTGGGGGACAATATGGGATGCTGGGAATTGAACCCGGGTCCACCGCATGCAAGGCAAACACCCTCCCCACTGTGCTATCGCTCTTGAGCTTCCTCTTGATTAAAATCTAAACACAAGTCAGAAGAGCGGAACAGAAAGGGAGATGCGTTTTCGGATGTCCTGGTGTCTCTGCTCTGAGCATGAGCCCCATCCCCATGCTGACATGAGGCTCCGAGGGATGGGGCTCCGAGTCCTTCATCCACTCACCTGGGCATCTACGGCTCCAGAGCCCCGAGTGGTGCGTGTTCCAGACACACTCAGGAAACCGCTTACATTCCAGTGGCCTTGCGCTGGGCTTTCTCTGGCGTCCTTAGCTTCAGTGCGGGCCCCATCCCCATCTCTGGCCCATGGGCCGCATCTGCCGGATTCTTTTAAAAGAATACCACGCAGGATAACCAGCCATGTGCTTGGCTATTCCCCGTGACTTCCCCGTGATGCAGTTCATCCGGTGGCCAGCACTCTGCTCTGCCCGCCTAAACACACCAGCTAGCGCCCTTTGGACCTACTGTTTTCCGCATCCAAGGCAAGATACTTGCTATACTTTTTTTTTATTCACGAACCTCACAGAACGCTTCTCGCAGAAGTTCCTCCCTGCCTTCGGTATTTTTACAGTCACTCTAAAGCAAAAAAAAAAGAAAAAGAAAAAGAAAAAAAGGCATCTTTGTTCCAAAGCTGCCACTTTGTGGTTTCATTAGCGTGGGGATGGATGGATATGACGTTTTTTTTTTTTTTTTTTTTTTTTTTTTTTTTTTTTTTGCAGGAGGCCCTTAGAAACACCTGTTCACAATTACATTTCTAGTTCAATTTCTGGGTTTGAAAATGCTCCCGCTTTTGAGTAGCATCGCCTTCTGAGTGCTCCGGGAGTAACTTAGTTGAGGTTGAGGATGGCAGCATCAAGATGGAAGGAAATGGGGTTGGGGTGGGGGTGGGGAAGACAGGTGGGACTCACCGGGCATAGTCGGGGGATCTTGGGCCAGAGGAATTCAGACCCTTCCCCCACTTCCCCTTCCACTGGCCAATGGAAACCCTTGGACCGGGAGAGAGGCCACCTGCAGGGGCAGAAACTCAGACCCCATCATGCCATGGAACTGTGTCCCCCAAAGCCTGGGAGGGCTGGAACTGCCTTGTGGGGTGGATGTTCTCTGTTCCCTTCAAGAAGCACAAACATCCCTGGGGGGTGTCAAGTGGGTTGTCACTCTTCTGAAAAGAGCACAGGGGGGACCTGCAAGGAAGGGACTTTCAAAGTGGGAGGCGGGGAGCCTCAGTTTCCTCTCTGAGCATCATCTCCCATGAGCCACATGCCATCCAAGCGAGGGTCCATGTGTGTTAGGTGGGGCGGGGAGGAAATGAAGGTGGTGAGCCCTGGGCATTGGAAGCTAAATGGTGTGTGTAAGGCCGGGTGGGGACAGCACTGGGACACTCTGTCTCCCCCAACTCCAGAATTTGTCGCCAGTTTGGGTCCACGCTGGTTCCCATGACCCTGGGGTCCAACTTGTCTGGCTTGCCCCCGGCCAACTTTGATGGACAAATCAGTCTGCTTCTCAGACCTCTCTCTCCCCCGCCTCTCCAACTGGCCTTGGCATAGCTAGAGGACAGGGGTGGCCCGCAGGGACTGTCCCCATCGCTCAGAAACCAACTGCCTGGCTCCTCTGCCCACCTCTGCTCGGATCCCGTTGCCCAGATGCCCGTGTCCACAGGTCTAGAGGATGGTCCCTCCCTGAAGCCTTCACAGTGACCCTGCGGTAGTGTCCCAGCCCGGCCTGCGTGTCCACCCCTCTTATTTCCAGTTGGAGAGGCACGACAGCGGTGACTCTCTGTCCTTGGGGCCAGCAGGGGGTCTTGGCAGTCTCTGTCTCCCTCCTGGTTTCCTTCCCCCCCATGGAGGCGGAGTGCCTGGTCGGTCCCTGGGCTCTGGGCTGACCCATGGGGGCACCTCAGGCTTTCCTGGATGGTGTCCGGCATCCCCCTCATGGAGTGGACAGGAAGGTGGTCCTTCCCAGCTGCCCTGCCCTCTCCCGCGGCAGTGCCCACCGTCCCAAGCCAGTCGGGGACTTAACTATCATGACCCGGTGCCATCGTGGTCCCCAAAGGGCTGTGGAGGTCAAGCCTGCATCTCAGACGTTTTCTGCTTGGATTCCAGGCCCACCGCATGATCCCCTCCTCTCCTCTCTCTCTCTCTCTCTCTGTTCTCACCCACGGTAGCACGCTGCCCAGCTCCGATGCCCACCCCCCCCTTTCATCAGCTGGCACCCACTAACGCTTTATTATCTAATGATCTACGGCATAGCAAGGCCGAGGGCCCATGCTCAGTATGCTGATACTGAGCGTCCTGAGAAGCGACCACCTGACTTTCTATTAGCACGCACGTGTGCAAAGCCAGGCAGCCCTGAGCAGCGTCTATGCAAATGCCTGGCAAGACCCTTGGGCATCTTTTGTCAGGAAGTGCTTGACAAGCAGTTCAAATGCTGTGCTTTTGGTGGGGGGCTCTTTCCCTCTCTGGGCGGACCTGTCTCTCTTCTCCACCTCAACACCCCTGCTCAGAAGGCAAAGAGAAGCCTCACCCTGACCTCAGCCATCCTAGTGGCAGGCACCAGCTCCTTGCCGAGTTTGGGCATCCAAGATGGTCCCAACTTGCTGGGTTCTTGTTTCCTTTGTGTGTGTGTGTGTGTGTGTGTGTGTGTGTGTGTGTGTGTTTCAGGGCCATGCCCAGTTGTGCTCAGGGCTTCCTCCTCGCTCAGAGCTCAGGGGACCTCATGGGATGCTGGCGATAGAACTCAGGTTGGTCACAGGGAAACCAAGCACCCTACCCCCTGCCTGCTGGTTTGTTTATTTTTCATGGAAGATTTGTTTTGTGGTTTGTTTGTGTGTTTTTTTCCCCAAGTTGTCAGGATTTTGTGCAATAGGGACTCGCTTTTTGGGGGGAGAGGGGCTTTTTGGGTCACACCCAACAATGCTCAAGGGTGACTCCTGGCTCTGCCTTCAAGGAATTACTCCTGGTGGTGCTTGGAGGGATCCTATGGGATGCCGGGGATTGAACCCAGGTTGGCCGCGTGCAAGGCAAACGCCCTCCCCACTGTGCCAACCCCCCAGTGTTGACTCGTACTGGAAAAAGATCTATAATAGTAACTGAGCATGGAGCTCCCGGGTTTTTGCCAAAGATGAACAAACAACACTCTTTAAACCAGGACACCTAACTCAGGTCATGGGCTAAGTACAGATGTTCCTGATCGCCGGCATCTCAGCAATGGGAAAGAGTTTTGGTGCAGCTTGGTGGGCGTCAAATGGGAATGAATGAATGAACGAATGAATGAAGTCTTCCTCCATAGGAGGGAGACATGTCCCCAGAGGCCAGCGTTGTCCATGGGATTAGAGCAGAAGTGGGTTGGGTATGGCAGAGCACCTGGAGGAAGTGCGGGAGAAAGAGCCTGGTTCGCTGGCTCTCCCGTTCCAGGCTCTGAGCTGGGGCCAGGGGTGGCGGTGGGATGGCCGGGCACAGCCCCTCCGAGGTCCCCAGAGCAGTACCCCTCCAGGTGACCCCCGAGTTTCCCCAGTCTGAACCCTTCACCTGCCAGCCCAGGCAGGGATGGAATCTGCTTCCGGACTCTGCCAAGCTGAAGGTGGGGGGACAAACTGGGGCATTTGCACCAAAAACTTGCCCAGGGGCTCAGGGATTGTAGCACAGTCGCACTGTCTCCCCGTTGTTCATCGATTTGCTCAAGTGGACATCAGGAACGGCTCCATTGTGATCCTTGTTGTTCCTTTTTATGGCATATTGCATACGCCACGGGGAGCTTGCTGGGTTCTGCCGTGTGGGTGGGATACTCTCAGTAGCTTGCTGGGCTCTCCGAGAGGGGCGGAGGAATCGAACCTGGGTCGGCTGCGTGCAAGGCAAACAAAACGCTCTACCCCACTGTGCTATCGCTCTAGCCAAGGCTAGATTAGAGGAAGAAAACCCCGCCCTTTCTCTTCAAGCCCGTTGTCCACACGTGGCTTTGCCTGCTGACTTAGTAGAAAGCAGGTTTCGGAAGGTGTGAAAAAGCAGGGGAGGGGTGGGGCGGGGCGGGGCGGGAAGAGGTGACTGATGGCTGGAGCATCCGGTTCTGTTCCCCGCCCCCCCACCATCCAGGCTCCCCCTCACCTTGCAGGAGCCGTGAGTCCCTGGACCTGTGCCCTGGCTGGGGGTGGGAGGAGGGGTGTCACCATGCCCGGCCTTATCCCGCCGTTGCTACTCCCAACTGCCCCCGACACTGGTCTTGCCCTTCAGTACTGGTCCTTCCTGAAGCCCTTCAGCTGCAGACAGACAGACAGATGGACAGAAAGCCGTCTCTGATTCCGCCGCTTGCCTC